TTTAAAAATCTGCTGCTATGGTTACAGACAGACATCGTTAAATTGAATCAGAGTCGACTGGAACATACTCAGTGTTAGGTGTAGAACCAAATTTTTGATCGTTATAAACAACATTTACGAAGCATGAGTATAAAGGCCAGTTTTCAAGCTTTAAGTAAAGATATCTCAAACAAGTTAGAGTGCTATATTCGGCTGAGCCGAATCTTAAATACCCTCCACCAGCAACTTTTGTATTAATACATTTCTAATTAATAAAATATTTGTAGAAATAAGTTTTCTCATGTCTTAAATAGAAAAATCCCAATATTTAAACAGCTTAAATCTACTACAATTCCAAGATTTATTGAACATTAGAAACGCCACTTTCTTTTAAATTTTTAATAGCGCCCTAAGATATGCTTTAGCGATATTTAGTATTTGCATGTATGCATGTGTGTGAAAGATTTAAGGATTTTCAAAATACATACATATACATATATAATTTTGTTCTACACAAATTGATAATGCAAATAGTTAAATACCGTTAAGCGCTTTTAGGGGCAGGACCTAGTATGAGAGATATGACCAAATATAGACCGATCGTGAAAAATTTTTGAAATAACATTAAGTGCTTTTTGCATTACAAAATAGTATTTATGAACAAAAATAGCATTTATTTATATCATTGTTTGGTAATGAGTTATGTGCCTTTAAGTGTTTTTCTGAAAGGGACCTTGTATGGGAGCTATGATCAATTATGGATCGATAGGAAAACAATTTCACAGTAATATTTCACTGTATATGAGCAATATTTTTGCCAAACTTTATATGGATATCTTAATTTAGTAATGAGTTATGTGCGTTTAAGTGATTTTCGGGAGGGGACCTTGTATGGGAGCTATGACCAGTTATGGACCGATCGGAAAAAAAATTATCTGTAATATTTCTGTGCATATGAGTAATATTTGTGCCATATGGGTATCTTAATTACGTAATGAGTTATGCGCGTTTAAGTGATTTTCGGGAGAGGACCTTGTATGGGAGCTATGACCAATTATGGACCGATCGAAAAAAATTTCACAGTAATATTTCTATGCATATGGGCAATACTTGTACCAAATTTTATATGGATATCTGAATTTAGTAATGAGTTATGCGCGTTTAAGTGATTTTCGGGAGGGGTCCTTGTATGGGAGCTATGATCAATTATGGACCGATCGGAAAAAAATTTCACAACAAAATTTCTGTGTATATGAGTAATATTTGTACCAAATTTTATATGGATCTCTTAATGTAGTTATGAGTTAAGCGCGTTTAAGTGATTTTCGGGAGGGGACCTTGTATGGGAGCTATGACCAATTATGGACCGATCGGAAAAAACTTTCACAGTAATATTTCTATGTATATGGGCAATACTTACACCAAATTTTATTTGGATATCTTAATTTAGTAATGAGTTATGCGCGTTTAAGTGATTTTCGGGAGGGGACCTTGTATGGGAGCTATGATCAATTATGGACCGATCGAAAAAAAATTTCACAACAAAATTTCTGTGCATATGAGTAATATTTGTACCAAATTTTATATGGATATCTTAATTTAGTTATGAGTTAAGCGTGTTTAAGTGATTTTCGGGAGGGGACCTTGTATGGGAGCTATGACCAATTATGGACCGATCGGAAAAAAATTTCGTAGTAATATTTCTATGCATATGGGCAATACTTATACCAAATTTTATATGGATATCTTAATTTAGTACTGAGTTATGCGCGTTTAAGTGATTTTCGGGAGGGGACCTTGCATGGGAGCTATGACCAATTATGGACCGATCGGAAAAAACTTTCACAGTAATATTTCTATGCATATGGGCAATACTTGTACCAAATTTTATTTGGATATCTTAATTTAGTAATGAGTTATGCGCGTTTAAGTGATTTTCGGGAGGGGACCTTGTATGGGAGCTATGATCAATTATGGACCGATCGGAAAAAAATTTCACAACAATATTTCTGTGCATATGAGTAATATTTGTACCAAATTTTATATGGATATCTTAATTTAGTTATGAGTTAAGCGCGTTTAAGTGATTTTCGGGAGGGGACCTTGTATGGGAGCTATGACCAATTTTGGACCGATCGGAAAAAAATTTCACAGTAATATTTCTATGCATATGGGCAATACTTGTACCAAATTTTATTTGGATATCTTAATTTAGTAATGAGTTATGCGCGTTTAAGTGATTTTCGGGAGGGGACCTTGTATGGGAGCTATGTCCAATTATGGACCGATCCATAAAATTTTTCCTCTGAAAGAATTCTATTGACATAAGATTTTAATTTGTAAAATTTTGTGAAGATATCGACATTGTGGCGGAAGTTATTAACAAAAAACCCATTTTCCGGGAATATGTACTTTTGTATGGGAGGTATATGAAATTGTGGACCGATTCTGGCAGTTTTCAGCGCGGATCAAGATCTTGTGCAGAAATGAATGTATGGTGATTTCCATGGAATTATCTTGCATAGTTTTCGAGAAAACTACATCAGAATGTGTAAAAAATGCTTATTTTTTTCCGAGGTTGTTTTAAATTTTTATTCATAACTTTTCCCGGTGTGAACCGATTTTGCCCATTTGCAATACCAAACAACTTAGGAAAATGAAGAACATTTTGGGTGAATTTGGTTAAGCTCTATTGCTTCGTTTTATCGTGAGCGTGTTTTACACAGACAGACGGACAGACGGACAGACGGACATAGCTAAATCGACTCAGAATTTGATAAGGACCCAGAATATATATACTTTGTTGGGTCTCAGATGAATATTTCTTGGTGTTACACACGGAATGACAAAGTTATATATACCCTCTATCACCACTGATGGTGGTGGAGGGTATAAAAAGGGTAAAAATTGCACTTTTTTCAAACTTCAAGACACGATATCTCAAATCCCAGCCAAATTCGAATTTGTCGGCCTGTGTAATCTATGGTTTTATGAAGATAGCATATCTTATGAAGCAGCTCCTCAATTTATCATTTGTGCATTAAGTTTGGTAATCAATTAATCGTCTTGACTATCTAACTGACTTAGAGTTGCGATTTAAATCATCCAGGGTGACAATGACTATACGCCCGTTGTAGAGAATCAGATAAGAGTCTATAATGGGAATTGAACCCACAATCTTCAGACTGATAAGCTAGTACTCTAGCAACTAGTCTACCGTGGCAACCATAATATATGTATGTATATTAATAACTACTAGATCAACAAGACTAAAATAATGAAAGCCTTAAAACAAAATTTATAAAATTTAAATCAAAAACAAGCTACTCTCTATATATCCACGTTAATTTAATCTTAATCTCTTTAGAAAATATGTATGAAATGTATTTTAAATCACACAAAATCCAAAACATAACCATTGTAAAAACATTTAAAGAAATATTTTTATTATAGTCTTTATAATCTAAATGTGAATAATAAATAATCAAAATTTCAAATTTTGTTTTTCACTGTTTCCTTTTCATAAATTACATTGTAATTAATAAACATAAAATAGCTTTTTGTATAAATCTCACATAAAAAAACCATTTTATATATCATATATATGGAAATCGTGCTTAAAGCATTGTATAATTTAATTGATAAGTGATTTAAGCTTTTAAAAAAATAACAATAAAAACAAATAATTAACAAATAGTGTTTCTTCTAGCCAACACACGCAGTTTATAAATAAAACTAGTTAATTATTTAACAAAAAAATGTGTGATTTGTTTAATTTATATTCAATATTTCTATTTTTTTTTCACTCTTCAAAAAAAAAATAAATATAAAATGGTTGCCTTAAACTGTGTGTGTGGTTTCTGGTTTTGTTTTGGTTTTAATTTTTCGTTACATATTTTTGGGGGTTGGTTTTTTTGTTTATGGGTTTTAGTTGATTTATAGCTGAGCATGTATTTGTTTTGTGATTTTTTTTAAGTGTTAAGTGACACTTAATACAAAACAAAAGATTTTGAACTTTTGTTTAGTTTGTTTTTTTTTCTTGAGTTTTTAATCAATTTGAAGTTTTTCTTTAGTTTATGGGTTTCGTTTTTTATTGTATAAAGTTTTGTGTTTATTTTTTCTGCTGTTAAAAGCAATTTTTTATTAATTTAACTAACTATATAAGGGAGAATATTATATTGATTATGAACAAAATTGATTACTAGTTTTTCGTTATTAATTGAAAATGAATATGTATGTTTATTGAACATGTTTTTGTATAAAAGAAAGATAAGGTTTTTTTTTTTTTTATTTTGAAAAGAATCGTAAAATTGAATAATTGCTGTTAAAGGAATGTGTGAAAAGATGTGTTTCGACTAATTGATTAGCTTGTCAAAGATCTTTAAGAATTGAAGGTTTAATTGATTAAAGTTTATTATTAGTTTTAAGTGTAGTTTTAAGTTATATTACAAACAAAAGCTTGATTTAATTTTAAACTATACTCCCTTGTCGTAGTATTGTATTATTAGGATCACCATAGATTCCATATATAGCTTGATTAAGTTTTAATCCAAATTTTTCTGAAAACTTGATTTATAATTTAAAATTTTACATAAAATCGTCAGACATGATGTGTATATTTGTAATGAATAGGAAAACCAGCTAGACAGACGGACAGGGATACCTAGTTTATCTTGAAGATGTTCTGTGGTCTAGGTTAAAGGTTAAATATCTTTTTTTAGACTTTATATGTTTTCTGGTTTAACAACAACACCTCGATTTGTATTAAATAAACGAACAGCAAAACCTCTTTGTCATTTCCATATATTCTGGGTTTTAGTTGGAACTACATATATGAAAACAAATATTTCCTTTTACTTTGTAGCTATAAACACTATTTGTTTAGCACAATGAAATGAACACACATTTAACTACAAAAAAAAAAAACATAACAAATCTCTTTTTTAACAAAATATTTACATTTGTTTTAACAAATAACTAAACAAACCCTCTTTTGATTTTTTCTTTCATTGCAGCTCAAGGAAGCAACAAGAAAATGTGTTTAAAATAATTTTGAAGTGATAATTTTCAAACCAACATTTAGTTTAAATAAAAAAAAAAAATGGCAACATAAATAATGAAACAACAACAGCAACAAACAATACCACCGCCAACAACAGCAATAACAACAACAACAACAACAACGGTAATAACAAAACCAACCCAACAAAATTTAAAAAACCTAAGTAGGAAAAATGTTGTTACTTTTACGGACAAAAATTAAAATGAAACTAATTTGCAAAAAACCAAGTTTAAAAAACGTTTGGGTTTAAACAAAAATTACAAAAAATAAAAAAAACGAGCCACACTAATGGCTTAAACAAGATAACAACAACAAATAGAATAAATACACAAATATACATAAGAAAATTACTTTAAAATTAACACAAACATACAGAAAAAAAAAACTTAAAGAAACTTATATAAAAAAAAAAACGAAAACAAATTGAAATTGCAATAAGAAGGAAGAAATAACAACAAAACGTTAAGGACTAAAGGCGGCACTCTTCAAAATTTACAAAACGCAAAAAAAAGCTGTTCAAGTTTTGTAAGAGTAACGCATAGTTCTTTAAAAACAACAACAACAACAAGAAATATAATTCTTTTTTATATACATACATACATATAAATATATTTCTACGGTGATATGACGATGATGATGTTCTGTAGACAAGTGAAAAATTTGCCTGCAGATGACCAAAGACAGCCACCACAAAGAAAAGCAACAACTGCCACAGTCTTACAAATACAAAAAGGTGATGGAGGTGAAAAAGCCACCAACACTACTACTAACAACAGCAACAACACACAGCCAATATCAGCAACAAGAACAACTTTAGCAGTAACAGCAACAGCAGCTAGATCATTTATGCCAAGACGGTCAAGTGATGAAAATTCTTTAACTGAAAAAAATAATGCTGAAATAGTTTGGAACAGCATGACAAATCAACACAATTCACAAAACAATACATCTAGAAATAATGTTAACATCAACCGAAATAATGATGATGTTGATGATGAAGACAACCAGCAGCAACAACAACAAAAACATCACGATCCACATCGTCATCATCATCATCATCTAAGCAATGATCATCAGGTTCATTGTAAATTATTTGTAAATAGTTTATCACTGCATTTAGATGAGTATATCAAGAGAAGAAGAGGGAAACCTTTAGAGTTGCATATTCAACCAACAAAACAAATTTACTTTAAAAGAAATCATCAAGATGAAGTAGAGAAAGAAAACGAAGACTGCATAGTTTTACAACAACATTACCACCACCAACATCATCATCATCATCATCAGAATTGCCAGCAAAATGAGGCAACAGAAACAAGGTTTCAGAGACGGCCTCTTGCCAACACAACACCATTAGTGAGATATGCGTTGACAGTACTCATTTGTTTAATGTTGGTGATATCAGCTAAAGCAGCCGCACAACAGCAACAACAGCAACAACATCAACAGCCGCAACAAAGTATAACATTCTCTTCTTCTTCTACCTCAGCACTTTACTCATTTGTACCCTCAAATCCTGGTAGACATGTTTATACATCGGCCTTTCCACGTCGTCGTACGGCGGATGGAACGGGGTTAATGCAATCACGAGCTGTTGATACAAGAGTACAATTTGAAGTATTAGAAGGTCAACCTAAGGGCACTGTGGTTGGTTTTATACCCACTAGACCCGATTTTACCTACCGTTTTAATGAACCACCGCGGGAGTTTAATTTGGATCCGGTAACTGGGGAAATCAAAACAAATATGGTATTGGATCGTGAAGGTATGCGTGAACGTTACGATTTGGTAGTCCTCTCCTCACAGCCCACCTATCCTATTGAGGTTAGAATAACTGTTTTAGATATTAACGATAATGCTCCCGAGTTTCCAGAGCCCAGTATAGCAGTTAGCTTTTCGGAAAGTGCTGCCAAGGGCACTAGATGTCTGCTGGATGCTGCCACCGATTTAGATATAGGCATTAATGGCATATCCAATAATTATACCATAGTAGAGGGTAATGTTGATAATAAGTTTCGTTTGGCCGTTACCTCAAATCCCAGCGGTGATGTGTCTTATCTGCATTTGGAAACTACAGGTGATTTGGATCGGGAAACAAGAGCTTTTTATAGACTTAATATATCAGCCAAAGATGGTGGTAATCCTCCCAAATATGGTTATCTACAAGTTAATGTTTCCATCATAGATGTCAATGACAATCCTCCGGTTTTCGATCATAGTGACTACACAGTATCGCTTAATGAATCTATACCACCGGGAAGTTCAGTTTTACAGGTGATGGCCAGTGACAAGGATTTGGGTGATAATAGTAAAATTACCTATTATTTGGCCGACACCGAAACCCAATTTACGGTTGATCCTGAAACTGGTGTGATTTCAACCACCGAACATTTAAATTGTCCCCAACAAAACTGTCCCACTTTCTCTAGGCCTGGTGTATCCTGTCCGAAAAGTTGTGTTTTTACCGTATTTGCCAGAGATCATGGTTCTCCCCGACAAGATGGCAGAGCCTATGTAACCGTTAATCTAGTGGATACAAATGATCATGATCCTGTAATAAGATTTCAATATTTTCCACCCACCGGCTCTTTTGCTACAGTAGATGAGAATGCCATAAATGGTAGTGTAGTGGCGGCAGTATCGGTAGTAGATATGGATGAAGGTTTAAATGGTGAAACATCCATCAAAATTACCTCAGGCAATGAGTTGGGACATTTTCGTTTGGAGAAGACTCCTTCGTTTGATATAGTAAGAGTAAATGGTGTCTTAGATAGAGAAGAAATAGGAAAGTACAATTTGACAGTGGTAGCCACTGATAAGGGAACTCCTTCTCGTACAGCCACTTCCTATCTAATCATACATGTCAACGATGTCAATGATCATGAGCCGGTATTTGAGAAGTCGGAATATTCAGCAGTACTAAGTGAACTAGCTCCGCCTGGTTCCTTTGTAGCCTCCATTACAGCCACGGATGAAGATACTGGTGTTAATGCTTTAATATTTTATGACTTTGTTTCCGGCAACAACAATCAATGGTTTGCCATCGATTCCTCGACTGGACTAATAACAACACAAGCTCCTTTGGATCGTGAGGTAGAGGGATCAGTGGAATTAAGTATTTCCGCCCGGGATGGCGGTCCGAATCCCAAGTGGGCATACACTCAACTAAAAGTAACCATATTGGATGAGAACGATGAAGCACCCCAGTTTACCCAAAGTCAAATCAATGTCACACTAAGTGAAGCCACACCACCACACACCTTAATTGCCATGTTAACAGCCAACGATCACGATCAAGGCACAAATGGTTCAGTGACATATTCGCTGGCAATGGTGAGCGAACGAAAATATCCTGAACAATTTCAGTTGGATTCTTTAACAGGCCAATTAACAACAAGAAAGTCACTAGATCGTGAATTGCAACAGAATTATGAAATTTTAGTAATCGCACGTGATCAAGGTACACCACCAAAATCTTCAACGGCCACAGTAAATCTACACATAGAAGATGTCAATGATAATGCTCCACAATTTTATCCAAAAAAATATTTTCATGCGTTGGCGATACCTATGCAGCAGCATCAAGGCAACAGTAACAATAACCATAATAATGCTGGAACAACAACAACAGGAGGAGGAGGTGGAACAGGAGACATTGACATTATGTCGCTGCTGCAAAAGCCATTATTAAAAGTTTTTGCTACTGATCGTGATGAGGGTGATAATGCCTTAATTACTTATACCTTAAATACAGGTGGTGATGGTTTATTTGTGGTTGATACTTGGTCAGGTTCGATCATGTTAAGCTCTAAGGTTGTGGCAACAGCCACAGCATCAACAACAGGAACAGAAATTTTACAACATTTTACAAAACCTTTATATAAACTGCACATTACAGCCAAAGATCGTGGTGAAAGACACAGTGAACAAGATGCTGTTGTTGAGATAATGATGCAACATAAAATGGAATCATTAGACTTTGACTCCTACTCACAAACCTATGAGTTTCAGATCACCGAAGATCATGCCATGGAACAGGCTCATCTAGGCAGAGAAGTAGGTCAGGTACAAATAAAACAGCAGCAGCACACCAATTCAGCCGATATGTTGGAGTATGCAATCGTTTATGGTGATCCTGAAGAGAATTTTTCGATTAATAAGAAAACTGGTGTTATTAGCACTGCCAAAGCTATAGATCGAGAAGTTAGCAATCAGTATCAATTGGAAGTGGTGGCCCGTCGTGGTTTGGCTTATGGCAAATGTTTGGTTCATATTTCGGTACAAGATTTAAATGATAATAAGCCTGTATTTGCCTTGGAACGTGATGATGAAGTTTTGTTGCCAGAAAATTCTGCTGTAGGCCAAGAGGTTTATATAGCTAGAGCAAGAGATCGTGACTCGGGTAATAATAGCAGAATAACTTACACTTTGACCTTTAATCCGGATATGTTATTTCGTATCGGAGCTTCAACAGGTGTTATATATTTGCAAAAACCCATTAAGGCTGAACCCAACTCAAATATACAAATAGAACTAACGGCCACTGATCATGGTAAACCTGCCTTGTCCTCCAAACACATCATAACAGTGGTGGTAACTGACGTCAATGATCATACACCAGTATTTGATTACACTTCATATGAAACTTCTTTGCTAGAATCTACTCCTGTAAATGATCGATTTTTCTCGGTGGCTGCACATGACAAAGATTTGGATTTAAATGGACGTTTATCCTATGAAATATTGGAAGGCAATGTGGCACAAAAATTTGGCATATTTCCAGATGGCTTCTTATTTGTAAGATCCTCTTTGGATCGTGAAGAACGTGATTATTATGCATTGACTGTTAAATGTCACGACCAAGGCGAACCTCAAAGATCTAGCGAAGTACCAGTTATTATACACATTATAGATGAAAACGATAATGCCCCACAGTTCACAAATAGTTCCTTTACATTTAGTTTGCCAGAAAATGAACCAGCCGATGCCTTTGTAGGTAAACTAACAGCTTCAGATCGTGATATAGGACGTAATGCGGAACTGATTTATACTCTAGCATCACCGGGTAAAGATTTTATCATAGACTCTCGTAATGGTTTCATCAAAACTTTACATCCCTTTGATCGTGAAGAACTAATACAAAGAATGCCATCGTCTTCATCTTTGACGGGTTTGGCGGGAGCTCATAATTATATTTTACTCGAGGCCATAGTTGCAGATAATGGCAATCCCAGACTTAAAGATAAAGTCAAGATTAAAATTATAATTACCGATGTAAATGATAATGCCCCGGAATTTGTTAGAGCCCCCTACAAGGTGCAAATTTCCGAGGGTTCATTGGTGGGAACACAACTAATGCGAGTGTATACAAATGATTTGGATGAGGGACTAAATGGTGATGTCTACTATTCCATTATCAATGGCAATCAGGAGGGTCGTTTTCAAATAGACGATGCCACTGGTCAGCTTTCTTTGTCACGCAAATTGGATCGTGAATATCAAGCTGAATATAAACTGGAGGTAATGGCTAAAGATGCAGCCATAGAAGGACAGCAATTGAATTCTACAACTTTTATAACCATAGAAGTTTTAGATGAAAATGATATGGCACCAAAATTCGTTGAAACTATATCAGAAATTTCCGTTTTAGAAACTACAGCCATCAGTACAGAACTTATGCGTTTTAAGGCAGTGGATTTGGATTTGGGCATAAATTCGCAGATATCCTTTACCATCACAGCCGGGAATCGTAAAGACACCTTTCATATTGATTCTTATACGGGCATTTTATATCTGCACAAGTCATTGGATTATGAGGAAACTACAGTTTATAATTTGAATATAACTGCTTCCGATGGCGGATCTCCTAGACTTTCTAGCACTATAGTATTTACAGTGCATGTAAAGGATGAAAATGATAATCCGCCTACTTTTCCTAATACAGCGATTGTACGACAAATTAAAGAAGGCATTGATCTTAAAACACCTATAGTAACAGTGACCGCTGAGGATCCTGATTCTGGCCTGAATGGCAAAGTTACTTACAGTATAGTTAAACAAGAACCTGAATTGGCTGGAGGTAGACATTTTGGCATTAATACACAAACTGGTGTAATACATACGCTCAGAGAAATTGATCGTGAAACTATAGACACCTTCCGTTTGACTGTGGTGGCTACAGATCAGGCCAAGAAACCGGAAATGCAGCTATCAGCTGAAAAACTGGTCACCGTTATAGTCGAAGATATCAATGATAATGCTCCTGTATTTATATCCATGAATGCGGCCATTTTACCATCGAAAAATCTACAAATGTATTCACAAAATCGTGATGGAGCACTTATTATGTACGTGCATGCCACTGATGCTGATTCTTCCAGTAATGGTATTGTCACCTATGAATTGGTATCCGGTAATATGGATCTCTTTAAACTACAACGTAATACAGGAGCTATTACCCTACGCAAGCCTATTAACCGTCCCGAGGTGCGTTATCAACTTTCGCTTAAAGCCACCGATGAGGCAGTACAAAGTGAACGTAAAAGTTCTGATGCCTATATCACTATTATCGCTACAAGTGCTGCGGGTGTGCCGGGTCCCGTTTTCGATCAACGTGAACAAAGCGGTTCGGTATATGAAAATGAACCTATTGGCACTAGTATCTTAACCGTTAGTGCTAGACTAAATACCGCCGAAATTGAATATTATGTTACGAATGTGACGGCGGTCGGTAGTGCGGGTTCGTCGTCAGTGTCGTCGGGAAAGTATACAAATGTTGAACGTTTATTTGATATCGACACTAAATTGGGTATTCTGTCGACGGCCAAAGAACTGGATCGTGAAGCTGGTGCAGATACATATGAGATTGAAGTTTATGCTATAGCACTGGGAGGTAGTCCAAGAACAACTAGTACTAAGGTAAGTGAAGAGTTTAATAATTTTGATAATAGTTTTTTAAAAGTTTAATAAATGGATTAAGAATGGTTCACAGGTACAAAATTATAGTTCAGTTCTAGTTCAGTTCTAGTTCAGTTCTAGTTCAGTTCTAGTTCAGTTCTAGTTCAGTTCTAGTTCAGTTCTAGTTCAGTTCTAGTTCAGTTCTAGTTCAGTTCTAGTTCAGTTCTAGTTCAGTTCTAGTTCAGTTCTAGTTCAGTTTCTAGTTCAGTTCTAGTTCAGTTAGTTCAGTTCTAGTCAGTTCTAGTTCAGTTCTAGTTCAGTTCTAGTTCAGTTCTAGTTCAGTTCTAGTTCAGTTTCTAGTTCAGTTCTAGTTCAGTTCTAGTTCAGTTCTAGTTCAGTTCTAGTTCAGTTCTAGTTCAGTTCTAGTTCAGTTCTAGTTCAGTTCTAGTTCAGTTCTAGTTCAGTTCTAGTTCAGTTCTAGTTCAGTTCTAGTTCAGTTCATAGTTCAGTTCTAGTTCAGTTCTAGTTCAGTTCTAGTTCAGTTCTAGTTCAGTTCTAGTTCAGTCAGTTCTAGTTCAGTTCAGTTCTAGTTCAGTCAGTTCTAGTTCAGTTCTAGTTCAGTTCTAGTTCAGTTCTAGTTCAGTTTAGTTCAGTTCTAGTTCAGTTCTAGTTCAGTTCTAGTTCAGTTCTAGTTCAGTTCTAGTTCAGTCTAGTTCTAGTTCAGTTCTAGTTCAGTTCTAGTTCAGTTCTAGTTCAGTTCTAGTTCAGTTCTAGTTCAGTTCTAGTTCAGTTCTAGTTCAGTTCTAGTTCAGTTCTAGTTCAGTTCTAGTTCAGTTCTAGTTCAGTTCTAGTTCAGTTCTAGTTCAGTTCTAGTTCAGTTCTAGTTCAGTTCTAGTTCAGTTCTAGTTCAGTTCTAGTTCAGTTCTAGTTCAGTTCTAGTTCAGTTCTAGTTCAGTTCTTCAGTTCTAGTTCAGTTCTAGTTCAGTTCTAGTTCAGTTCTAGTTCAGTTCTAGTTCAGTTCTAGTTCAGTTCTAGTTCAGTTCTAGTTCAGTTCTAGTTCAGTTCTAGTTCAGTTCTAGTTCAGTTCTAGTTCAGTTCTAGTTCAGTTCTAGTTCAGTTCTAGTTCAGTTCTAGTTCAGTTCTAGTTCAGTTCTAGTTCAGTTCTAGTTCAGTTCTAGTTCAGTTCTAGTTCAGTTCTAGTTCAGTTCTAGTTCAGTTCTAGTTCAGTTCTAGTTCAGTTCTAGTTCAGTTCTAGTTCAGTTCTAGTTCAGTTCTAGTTCAGTTCTAGTTCAGTTCTAGTTCAGTTCTAGTTCAGTTCTAGTTCAGTTCTAGTTCAGTTCTAGTTCAGTTCTAGTTCAGTTCTAGTTCAGTTCTAGTTCAGTTCTAGTTCAGTTCTAGTTCAGTTCTAGTTCAGTTCTAGTTCAGTTCTAGTTCAGTTCTAGTTCTAGTTCAGTTCTAGTTCAGTTCAGTTCTAGTTCAGTTCTAGTTCAGTTCTAGTTCAGTTCTAGTTCAGTTCTAGTTCAGTTCTAGTTCAGTTCTAGTTCAGTTCTAGTTCAGTTCTAGTTCAGTTCTAGTTCAGTTCTAGTTCAGTTCTAGTTCAGTTCTAGTTCAGTTCTAGTTCAGTTCTAGTTCAGTTCTAGTTCAGTTCTAGTTCAGTTCTAGTTCAGTTCTAGTTCAGTTCTAGTTCAGTTCTAGTTCAGTTCTAGTTCAGTTCTAGTTCAGTTCTAGTTGAGTTCTAGTTCAGTTCAGTTCTAGTTCAGTTCAGTTCTAGTTCAGTTCAGTTCTAGTTCAGTTCTTTAGTCAGTTCTAGTTCAGTTCTTTAGTCAGTTCTAGTTCAGTTTTAGGTTAATTTTAGTTCAGTTTATATGTCGCCAGCAACAGGTTCAGTTAAAATTAAATCAGCACTAAAATAAGAAAAATATATTTTTGTTACAAACTTTGAATATTTGATTTAATTTGTTTTAACATTCTTTTTCACCTTTTGTTGTTTCAAATCATTTTATTAATTGCAAATATGCATTGGCAACATGTTGCTAAGCAACATAATTTATAAGTATAGAATTTTTTGTATACTTTTCAGTTTCTGGTTACATATTTTTTTGCTAAAAAATTAAACAATAAAAAACTGGTTCAAATTTATAGCCCTTAAAGTCTTAAATTTCAATTTAAAACTACCTTAAGCATCAACTCACACCGATTCTTAACACAGCTTAGTGCTAGATTCACTCATGCATGCATGCAGAGTTTTGCATGTGCTTGTTTTTTCTTTTTTGTATGCTTAAAGTGTAAGTGTGTGTATGAGTGTTGGTTGACAAACATATACATTTTGAAATTTATAACATTTGTTATCAAATTTCGTGGTAATCATCATAAAGTTTTGAAGACTTAACAATAATTTTCAACCATTAACACCAACAACATCACTATTACAATCAAGCAAGAAAGTGTTAAGAAAAGGACATGTTGTTGCAGCATGCTGATGATGTCTGGCAACAGAAAATCAGCATAATATTTAATTGTGTTGTGTATGTTAGCTGTTTGAATGGCTGGTTCGTTGGTTTCTTTGGATACTTAAGAATTTAACATATTTTCTTTACACCAATGCCTGGTTTAAAATACTAAAATAATTTAGTTTTAAAATAGAGATTTTGAAAACTTAGATTTGTTTGTCAAACGAGTTGTAAATGTTTTGCTGATATGTATGTTTGTTTGTTAATAGCAAAAATATCTTGGGTAATGATTTTTTAGTATTGCTGTTATACAAGTGATATTTTTAATGCTTTAATTCTTTCCCCCTTCTTTTAAATTGAGTTTGTCTTCATTAATACAGTCAGTTTGTCGCTGACTCTCAGCTAAAGGTGTAAAATTCTATAAGTTGTAATGTATTTTAGGCTATAATTGTAAATTTTGTCGTTATGGTTATATGTTTGTACATATGTACAGTGCGTTAATGTTTGCTTAGATTTTTTCGTTTTTTTGTGCCAAAGCATTTCAATTAGTGCTTGAGTTTAGTATTAAAGGCGTTGGCCTTTTTCTGTAGTTTTGTAAAGGAAACAATTTGCTGTTTTTTTTCCGGAATCATAAAAATCAAATCTTTCTATAGTGGGTAGAAAGAGTGGTATATTTCTGAACAGACATCATAAATTTATGCAAACTGTGGTTAAATTTATGATTTGAAAATATGTCTGAAATAATTATTTTGCTTTGATAGATTTTGCTATAAAATTGGTGGCCGTAAAATATTGTTTTTATGATCCTGTGTGATACTTTGATGTGGTTAAATATTAAAAGTGTTAGGAAAATTACATAAAATTGTTTGTTTTAAAAAAATGTTTAAGTATTCTTAAGTTAGACATTTTTTTACAAATAAAATCAATATTGACGACAATTTGTTGTAAAATTCCATCCTTTAGCTAAAAAGCGAAAATTTCATAGAACTGTTTATAATTGAAATCAAAAGACTTAAGATACAAACATGTAATAAACATTTCTTCAGTCAATTAAAATCTTTAATTGAGCTTTTTTTTTTGTACTAAATACTTTTAATTCGTAAAACTTTTAATTATAATTTAAGCTCATATAAAACTCACATAAACATAAGCATATATATTTAATAGCTTAAGACTTAATTATACACTAAGACAAGTGTTAAATTCAGTCTTGTTTGTGCTTGATTTCTTTTACATTCGTCAAATGCACATGGTAAACTTTTGTAGAGCATTTATATTTCTGTAACAACAAATATTTAAACAACAAGACATAAAAAATTAAATAAATAAATGTTTTACAAAAACTTTAAATACAAAATTGTTTTTATATGATTTTCATATTTGTATAAACGCTTTTCAGAAGTGCGAAAAACTTTAGCAAATCGTTATGTAGTTTAACTGAAACCAGTTGTTTTAGTTGGAGTTTTTTTTTCTTGTTAATTCTTTGGCTGTTTGTTCAATGTGATTGATAGCCGTTGAAAAGTCTTGTTAAAAAACATTGCAACACATTTTGGTTTTTCAATTTTTTTGTTAATTTTTTTTTCTTAAGTTTTAGCAGTTTTTTTGTTGTCGACAATATTTTTTGATTTACTTAAATATTGCATTAAGTAAACATAAATAGAGCGTTAGTGTTCATGTTAAGCTTGAGCTAAACAAAAAAACTTACTCTTATTTTTTCGGACACCCTACAACAAGTTTGTATCTTAAGTCTTTTGTTTTGCATAAAATTTATAAAGTTTTCTGTTTATATAAAAATTTATTATAGAAAATATTCGATTAGATTTTTTATGGAAAATTTTTCCTTTTTTTTTAGAAAATGTTCTTTTTTCCTAGAAAATTTTCTTTTCATAGAAATTTTCTATAGATTTTCTTTTATAGGCAATTTTCAAAGGTTTTCTTTTAGTAGAAGATTTATAATAAATTTTATTTTTATAAAAAATGTTTACTGAATTTTCTCTTTACTGAAAATTTTATAATGAATTTTCTTTCTAGTTCTAGTTCAGTTTTAGTTCAGTTGTAGTTCAGTTCTAGTTCAGTTCTAGTTCAGTTCTAGTTCAGTTCTAGTTCAGTTCTAGTTCAGTTCTAGTTCAGTTCTAGTTCAGTTCTAGTTCAGTTCTAGTTCAGTTCTAGTTCAGTTCTAGTTCAGTTCTAGTTCAGTTCTAGTTCAGTTCTAGTTCAGTTCTAGTTCAGTTCTAGTTCAGTTCTAGTTCAGTTCTAGTTCAGTTCTAGTTCAGTTCTAGTTCAGTTCTAGTTCAGTTCTGTTCAGTTCTAGTTCAGTTCAAGTTCAGTTCTAGTTCAGTTCTAGTTCAGTTCTAGTTCAGTTTTAGTTCAGTTTTAGTTCACTTTTAGTTCAGTTCTAGTTCAGTTCTTGAGACACAAGCATAATAAGTTAAATTATTTAATTTCTTTCTTTGAAACTTGTAGTGTTCCTTCTTTTAACCCATAACTCCCCTATAATTCTTTATTTACTGTAAATTTTTGTATATAATTTTTTATAGCGAAATGTTGATTTTTAAAGTAATTTTTCAAACT